AGGAAATGGAGAAAGTGCCTTTATTACTCGTTTGTTTGTCTGCAGGGCCCTTTTCTGATCTGGTCTCAAACGCCCTCCATCCACACACACACACACACCCAGAGAGACACACCGCGCAGCCTTCCAATGCTAATCTCGTGTCACAAATGTTAAGAGAAAGACACGAAATGCCACAAAAATGTCATCACTCTACCCCTGTCACTGGTTCATCCAGCCCTTCCCCTCCACCCTTGTAAACATATTCGAACATGCACTCATTTGCATGTGCGCGTGTGTCTGTGTGTGATGGAGTGTGGGACCAGCTTGTTGTTTGTAGCCTTTGGGTGCCCGCTCTGCGTGGAGCAGCAGGGTGGTTCCTATAATCCCATCACCGTTGTCGTCATGAAGGACCAAAGGCCGCGCCTGGAGGTGCGACATTTCTGGCATCCTCTGACTCTCCTTCACTACCAGAGCCAGCAGCTCCTGAGCCAAGCGGCACACTGTGCAGAATACCGCAAGTCATACACCGACTGACAGCGACTTACTGTATAGTGGGTCTGGCTTGGAAGTGAATAAAAGAATGTATGTCTTTGAGACGATATTTAGATTTTAAAGCCGAATATTTTCAAACCCCTTTTAATCGGTTTATTCAGTTATTTTTATTACCCGCCTGATCTGAACACATATGTGGTATTAAAAACACACAGATTCTTTGAGGTTTCTTCTTCTAATTGGAGAAAACAAGAAATTTAAAGAACATTTACAAAAACTTTTTAGGTATTCAATTATATTAGCTTTACTATAAATAATAATGATGATGAAAAAATATATATACCATCATTTTCCTCTTTGGAAGAGAGGATCTTGATTTTAAAGAAAACAAAACAATTCTAACTATTTTTCACAAAATTCTGCCACTTTTATTTTTTCCCTTTGGACAAGAAAAAAAAAATCATAAATAAAACCTGACAGGAGCCGAGGATACAGGCAGCATGCTGACTCCCATGCATCTGTCTGTCTTCATCTCACAGCTCCTCAACCTTCTCCCAAACTGTCACCCAGCCGCCTGGCGCCTGTCCCCATGTTCACTCTACGGTGGGGATCCGACCTAGCACCAATATGCAATTTCACCAATCTGTGCTGACAGCATTCACGTCCACTATTCGCAACCAATTCCCCGCCCCACACCCCCCACCTTCTTCTTCTTCTTCCGCAAGCATCTGTGTGGTTAAAATACAGTCAAAGAGCTTTCACAGGTCATGAAAGGTAACAGAGGAGACAGGCAGGGGCCTGTAGGCCCCGCATCCAGCTAGACAAATCAGCATAACAGCATATTGTAAACTAAAGACTACGCAGATGGGGGGCGGGATACATGTACTAGGACTGGGGCTGCGTTTATGGCTATGCCAGGCTGAAGAAGCCCCACGGCACTATCTCTGACCCCCCCCCTTGGGTTTCCTTACTAATGTGACCCCAGATTGTGTATCACAATCGGCAGGAGGAAACTCCCACAGGCTACAGTTAGTCCTAAGCACTAGGGATCGCTGTCCTCAGCCCGCCTGAGTACAGACAGAATGTGGCAGCTTCGAGGCATTTAGTTAAAGGAGATGCACTTTAATGCTGCAGGCATGCATTTATGGAAGCCCTACTAGGGTGAAAGCGCATGATGTGCTGGAGCCTATAAACAAACAGGAAAAAAAAAAACCACAAAAAAACCCAAAACAAAACTGAAAGGTTAGAGAATTAGGCTTACCTCGTTTCACGGCATCTAATCATTTGTGATAGTCTGCGTACTCATTCTTATAATTAATTTGTTTTCTGGGACAGCTTTTTCTCAGCAAATTGGGTTTAAAAATATCATCTGTTCTTCTATATTAAGCGTACGCAGCAAAAAGGAACATTGTGGATGCGCTGGATGTGCGAGGCAATAAACATCAGTGAAAGTAGTTCACATGAAGCACGGCTGCTGCTGCATGAGAATCAAAAAGGCTGTTGATATTAAAATACTGAAATTGGTATGTTAGACTACAGTGTGAACTTCTCTCAATACGAGCTTGACATCCACTCCTGATCTCTCTATGAATTTGATTCCTTTATGTGCTTAAAAGAAAGTTTAGCTCCATGAATTTGGGCGCTGCGTTCACTGTCTCCTTTGATTAAGAAGTTGATTCTTTCGCCCTGTCCTCCCTGTGGCTCTCTTTTATTATTGCACAGAAAACCACTGGTCGACTGTATCCCCACTTTGACGTGTCATTTATTGATGATTTTTATATTTTTTCTTGCCTGCGTATCTTTTAATTACTGCATTGAATGAATAGGAAGTAAAGCAAACGGATACTCAGTCACTGCCACTAAATGTAGTCCCAGACAAAAGCGGACAACACTGGCTTCAGTTCAAAGTGGCAGCCTTTACTGCATTATCATTAAAGTGGATCAAATCCAGAGGAACAAAAAAGATGATTTTGATTTGTATTGCTAGTCGCTGATGCAACCTTACGTCTTGTCATGGAGGTGAGTTGTTGCAGTGAGGATGTGCTCGATAAGAAAAGTTTGCAGTGTGGCACCTCAGCACGGCTGTCACTCTCACTAAACACACGAGTACGTACTCAGACACACACACACACACACACACACACACACACACACACACACACACACAGTACATAGTTAGTAAGCCTAGTTTTGACTGACATGTGACATTTCATTATGGGTAAATCATATGCGC